CAAATAACATGATAGAGACAACTGGCCTTATCTTGAATCCGACTATATGTAGACTATACATTGTAGCTACTGGCTTATATTGCCAAGTAATGTTAAATGCTAAAGGGCACTAAGTCATCGGTGACTGAAGATTATATTGGCAGATCAGTGAAGTAAGTAACAGGTACCAGGTATTAATTAAGGGCACCCATATATCCTCTTTCCCATAAAAAAAATTTGGGTCACTTATAGGGGCAGGTGTACTTGTAAAATGTGAAGTCAAATATGGTAATCTTCAGTTTCATGTCAGGGCCTCTTTTTAAAAAAAGGTTAGAAGAAGGTACTTGTTCATATTATGTTTAATTTTTTGATATACATCTGATGACACATCATAATATCAGAAAATGATCATATTTGACTTGTTTTCTCAATGCTGCCGAGACATGAAGGTGCACTCCCATGTTTAATTCCATATTAAATATTAAATAATATAATCACAGCAGTCAGTAGATCACAGCGGTCAGTAGATCACAGCAGTCAGTAGATCACAGCGGTCAGCTGCTAATCTGTGGCATGTTTATTTTGTTCTGGCACACATTACTTTATGAACAACAACGTAATTTTGGTAGTGATAATTGACTATGAAAACCAAAGACTTGAAATTATCTAAAATCATAAAATCTGGAACAGAAAAATATCTGTGATTTTAGGGTAACCTTTCGTTAAATAATCTTTCTAAAATCCCTGGCCATGGTGGTACTATCATTAGAGCGAGTGCTTTCATTGGGACAAATACAGTAAACAGTACTATCATTGGAGCAAGCGCTTCATTGGGACAAATACAGTAAACAGTCCTATCATTAGAGCAAGTGTTGGGACAAATACAGTAAACAGTACTATCATTAGAGCAAGTGTTTTCATTGGGACAAATACAGTAAACAGTACTATCATTGGAGCAAGTGCTTTCATTGAGACAAATACAGTAAACAGTACTGTCATTGGAGCAAGTGTATTCATTGGGACAAATACAGTAAACAGTTCTATCATTGGAGCAAGCGCTTCATTGGGACAAATATAGTAAACAGTACTATCATTAGAGCAAGTGGTTTCATTGGGACAAATACAGTAACCAGAACTATCATTGGAGCAAGTGCTTTCATTTGGACAAATACAGTAAACAGTCCGATCATTGGAGCAAGTGCTTTCATTGAGACAAATACAGTAAACAGTACTGTCATTGGAGCAAGTGTATTCATTGGGACAAATACAGTAAACAGTGCTATCATTAGAGCAAGTGTTGGGACAGATACAGTAAACAGTACTATCATTAGAGCAAGTGGTTTCATTGGGACAAATACAGTAAACAGTTCTATCATTGGAGCAAGCGCTTCATTGGGACAAATACAGTAAACGGTCCTATCATTAGAGCAAGTGTTGGGACAAATACAGTAAGCAGCCCTATCATTGGAGCAAGTGCTTTCATTTGGACAAATACAGTAAACAGTTCTATCATTGGAGCAAGCGCTTCATTGGGACAAATACAGTAAACAGTGCTATCATTAGAGCAAGTGTTGGGACAAATACAGTAAGCAGCCCTAACATTAGAGCAAGTGCTTTCATTTGGAAAAATACAGTAAACAGTACTATCATTGGAGCAAGTGCCTTCATTTGGACAAATACAGTAAACAGTCCGATCATTGGAGCAAGTGCTTTCATTGGGACAAATACAGTGAACAGTACTATCATTGGAGCAAGTGCCTTCATTTGGACAAATACAGTAAACAGTCCGATCATTGGAGCAAGTGCTTTCATTGGCACAAATACAGTAAACAGACCTATCATTAGAGCAATTGCTTTCATTGGGACAAATACAGTTAACAGTACTGTCATTGGAGCAAGTGTTTTCATTGGGACAAATACAGTAATCAGTACTATCATTGGAGCAAGTGCTTTCATTGGGACAAATACAGTAAGCTTTTACAAATCTTGTCTTTTTGATGATTATGATTGTGACATCTTTTCTATAGACCAGTACAGGAGGTGAAAGCAACGGTAGCAAAGTTCCATTCGCAGGAAGAGCCATGAAAGGCTAGATTTAATTAGCACATGTGTTTGATTGGGGGTATTGTAAGACAGCGATGCTATGTGGGAGAGCGACCTGGAATAATTACAGCCAGGGGGCCGGGCTGTATGAGGTCGATCGCTCTCATTACCTCAGCAAAGAAAAGTGGAACAGTTAGCTTCACCAGTATTCATTGAAAAGAAGGAAACTTGCCCTTGTGTGTTTATATAGCCTGTTTTTATGGTTTTTACATTGAATACATTGTATTAGAAAATTCTCAGTTAGGAATTTGATCAGTTCATGTAGATCAACACGTGAACTGTGAACTGGTTTTACAGTTTTTATATGGTTAGAGATATTATGCCATGGCAGTGTGTAGGACTGAGGTATACATTTACTGTCACATTACAGATGGTTCATGTGCAAGTATTCTAATGATCAAGTCTGAAATTTATGAAATTATAGACGCATGATTATGAGAAACTTGGTATGTTACCTAGTTAGAAGCTAACCAAGTTTAATCTTTGTACGGAGATCACAGTGGTGGATTAGGGCTACGCTCCGCTTGGCAGGTACACTGCAGCACTCATACTACCACAGGTGAATGCTATCGACTGGCTTTGTTGGACTGTCAGTAGGGGGTCCTATAGGCGTTGCCTCACTGAGCGGCTCAATGAGTGTTGTTGACACTGTGTAGGCCATAGGGGGTATCTGGCTTACCTCCGGCCTAGACCTTGGGTGGGCGTAGGCAGGCCACTACACATGGCAACTATCGGCCACTGCCATACATGTTTACCTGTGAACTCATTATAGATAAGCTATATAAGCCCACTCAATCTCACCTGTGGTGTTGATGGGCACGTCATGTATTGCTGGGGTCGGGAATTTGGGGGGCATTCATACTGTGTATTTATGTTTAATGGGTGGGAAGCGAAACATTGGTCTGAAAACTTTACACTGCTAATAATAGTGTCACAAAACGTGAAAGTGTTCAAAGAAGATGTATCTGTAAGTCCGACAAGTTATTGATACAATAGAGTATAAGCAGTTCACCATGTAAATCTGATTTCTAAGTGAGGAATGTGTAGCTCCGGTAACTAGATCAATTTTATTATATTTTGAAATTTTCGATATTCTGAAATTTTATCGGACCGTATAAGCTCTATGGTTGGAAAATGTAAAATTTCAAAATAAAAACCATCGAAACTTCAAAATAGCATAAGATTGATCGGACCTCGAGCTACAGTTCACGCAACTAAGGAGACTACACCCCTCATCAGGATTTGTATGGTCAAGTTTTAGACGTTATAGTTATAACCAGCCAGTTGGTATATAGTCAGTAATAACGGCGTTTTACTCATCGCCTGAAGCTTTGTTCATTAAAGAGTGTGGTTTTATGAGATATTTAAACAGATATGGAGCAATGTAATACTCATACAGTTTGTAATTTAAAACTGGGACAGTTTTGCGTTACAGTCATTAAATGAGCAAACTAGAAATTTAACGAAGCGATGTAGTAAATTGAAATTGATTTAAGTCATTGGAAAATTTATCATGGAAAAAGGTATCAACCCAGACATAAATTAATAATTATAACCTAATTAATAGAATACAGTGTGCAGCTTATTTGTAAACGTGCAGATGAAGTATAAATAAGTCAGGGTCGGGAGGGCATAAGAGGCTGTTGGCACCATTTGCATTGTTGTATGTATACATTGGGTAAGTGCGAATTTTGTAGTTAAAATGACATCATCTATAGATATCTTCTTGGGAAGTAAATTTAAAAAACAATGTTATAAAAACATGTAATGGGTGTATCAAACATAAGGTGCATATCTATAATAGGTCAAGGGAAATAATCTTTTGTCAGACTACACTGTGGTTCAGTGTGTGTGGTTTTGTTGTCCACTCACTGACAGCTATATAGGATCACATAACTTCACAAACGCTCCCCCATGAGGCTTCAGTAACGTTGACTTTTGAACTTGGCCTATGTGACCTTGCTTTTAAGTTTCAGTTCTGAAATGACAAGTCTTGGAGCAGGGCATCTGTATCTTGCTGATACGTTGACTTTTAATTTCGTATTATACAGCTACAATGTATCATGTCTTTGTTGAACCTGTATGATACTGAGAATTTAGAGGCTACCTCTCATTTTGTCATGTATATGATATGTTGTAGCTTGTGTATACATATATATTTATGTATTTGATGCAAGACATTGAACAAAAAATGTATTGATGAATGTTTCATACTTGCGGTTCCTGTGTTGTGGGGTTTCATATTTTCGTTAAGAGTCAGTATACATATACGTATACCTGTATCGTATTTCACAAATTGAATCCTGAACAGGATACAGGTCTAACCCTGGTGTTTTACTAAATACAAACAATTTATTCACATGTAGATTTTGAATTGTAAATTAGTTTAATTTGAGATATTAATATAATGATTTTTTTTTAAAGAGGTTTTTAAATGAAAATGTTTTAAACAAATATAGAAGAAAGATTTAGTGATGTATTACTAATTGTTAACATTTTACCAAGTCTCCTGATAGTAGAGGTAGCTTTGTAATGTATTATTCTCCCCTGTCATGTCACTTAATTTCATCAAAAAATAAGTAAATCTAATAAAATAGTTAAAAAAAACTATGANTGGGGGGGGGGGGGGGGGGGGGGTAAAAAGAGTTGAATACAGTACAAAATGAAGCACAGGAGTTGGCAATTTAATGTTAATCATTAGCAGGAAAAGAAAGTTATTCAATTTTCTAGATAGCATCACCCCCTAATCTACACATATAAGGACAAATGATAGGATATTCATCCTGAAGTGAAACCTATTGAGTAAATTTAGACCAAAGAATGGAACCTTAACCAAAAGGGGCTAACAGAACTGTGGTGTAACTTGTTGCCCTAAGTTGATCTTTGTGGAGATCTCAAGGCTTTGTTTTGTTTGCCAGGTTGGGTGGTCCTGACCCCCTCGACTACATCAGCATGTATGCTCACCCTGGGGACGAAAACAGAGGCATCCCACCACACTGGCACTACATCAGCTATGGACTGTCCGATCTCCACGGTGATGGAAGAGTTCATGAGTAAGTATATCAAGAGCATTTTTAGGTAAAATCTTTAGTAAATTATGTACAGAAGAAATAGATCTGACAATGGTTCTTATATATACGGCATGATCTGTCAGTGATAACATTATATTTCTATTTAGTCCCAATGTTTTTCAGATGATCACTTTCCAGTGTTATGTACAAACAGAAGTTTGTTTTAAGGTTATTTTCCTCCTAGCAAGACACTGGATGAAAATTTAAGGGAACAAGGAAAGGATATCCCAAATTTGAAGAGACTTATAAAACTCCATGATATTAGATTGATAATTGTAATAGTGATATTTGATGCGACTGACTCTGTAGAAGGTGGCCTAAAGCATAATTGAGTGAGCTGCTCTGTGTGTGGCAGTGTGTCTGTGTGGCCTCTACCTGGGTGGCCTGTGTCACTGGCCAGTCAGACGGGCATTAACATCAGACTAGAGAACCTACATTAATTTCATGGCCTCCTGGCAGATGATGAATTATTGAAGGGAGACTATTATGACTTGGGTTGACACCGGCAAGTTTCTTCTCATTAAGACAAGTTCAAAGCTTGGCATTAATGGAATCTGGGGGTGTATTTGACTTTTACTACTACTACTATCTGCCCCAAGCGGTGTGCAGTCATGGGTGGCTCATATCCTGTGTAGTGATCTTAGTTATGGCACTACTGCACAAAAACATCTGTCTTCAGGACACTTTTAACATAATTTTCCTCACAGTTGATGCGTTAATAACGTAGAGGAAGTCTATACCACCTACCTTGAACAGGGAATTACTTCTCTCAAGTACTGATATATATATACCAGGGAAAACTTTTTATTAAAGCAGAGATTTCTTAATTTTTATTATGTCCCCCCAAAACTTTTCTTCAGCCACAATAATGTTTTTCTCCAAATTTTTCGTAGCTAACATGAATATTGCATATTAATTCGCCATAATTAATGTTGGATATTTCAATTTCACAAATATCAGAATAATTCACTTTTATTAATATTAAGATAATTCACAGTCATTAATGTTAGGACCATCAGAACATTGGGTAAAATTTCTGATGTGTATGGTAAAAGTTATCAGCTGTGTCGTGATTGCAATGATCTACATCATGTGATAACACCAATAGGGATGACTGTAGTTGGTCGTGTGATTTAAAATGGACAGAGTGTAGGATTACAATATAATACCGCTACATGAACAATGTATGAAGTATTCGACTGTTGTTGTTTGTCTTCAGATCCTATATATATTCGCTCACAGATTGGTTGACAAATTCTTTGAGTTTGAAGCAAAGACATTCGACACTAACATTTATTAGTCCTCTAGTCAGAGATGGAGTAGATTTTAACAAGGACTTGTGAAAGACCAAACCTAATTCGTTCTTTAATTTGGACTTGTAAAAATTTAATGATATCATAATGTCATTTGATAGATTATAAAAAATCTTTCTGGAAAACTGCTTAAAAATACAGATATAGTGCACAAAAGAAATCATTAAACATCAACATAACTCTGACAGTAAATATCTTATGTCCCCTACAGTCAAGTACTGTTTTATGTTGTGGTTGGAGATGTTTTCTTGAGAAAATCGTGGATAATTTGCATAGAGGAGGCCTAAAAAAAATCTTTTCCATTATGTATCTGTAATAAGTTATTTGGACTACCTGTCAGAAATAGTTGGTATCTAACCTTGAAAGAGTGCATACTATAGGTATCTTGACATCAGTAGCTTGCAATTTATACTGTCTTGCTTTTTTCAGTCATTCCTTCCGTCTGAATGGTACAGAGGGACCAAGTGGATTTGGGTTTGAGTTAACTTTCCGGTTAAAGAGAGAACCAGGGGAGACGAATCCGCCGACATGGCCCGCTACATTGATGCAGGCCTTATCACGATATGTCTTTCAAACAGGTACGTAATTTAATGCATTTCAGGTTTTTATTGTCAGTGTATTTAATTTATCATTTTCGATGTGTCGGAGATGCTTGTGATGCTTTGTAAGTAATGATTGTGTCTGTATATTGAGCTTAATAGTTGCTGTATACAGTTTTCTGGATCAGAGAGAGTGAGACAGATTACACCGTACCATATGTGCTGTAAATCTGGCTCCATGGGGAATTTCTGTACGAAGAATTGTTTGTGCTGACGAAGAATTGTTTGTGTTGACGAAGAATTGTTTGTGTTGACGAAGAATTGTTTGTGTTGTAGAAAATGTTCTGTTCCGTGGGGACCACATTCCCTGGCACATGCCGCTGGACGGCAGCGAGTCACGGATCCAACACATGTTGATGGCAGAGGACGCACAGCTGTTACCCATCACAACGCCCTTAGGCTGTGTCAACTTCGTCCAGGTAGTGTTTCCAGTCTCTACGTAACCGTGAAGGTTTTACATTCCTTGTTTCTAATATGTCATTTATCCTCTTTGGTCGTTGGTGCTTTAGTCTTGGTTAATGTGACAAGGTTATAATGTTTTCATGTTTTGTCTACAGATTATTGGTGTGTGTGGGGAGGAATTGTGTGCCGCTCAGCACTGGACCGGTCCAGGAGTGATAGAACTCATCCGCTCCATACCATGGTAAGTATTGAACTCAAGATGGTCCAACAACACCCATGTAAACCCACCTTTTGAAAAATCAGTTCATGAAACCATTCCTATCACAGACAGTAAAACTTTGAGACCACCCCTATCAAAGACCAACCAATGTGAGACCATCCCTGTCAGAACCACCAATGTGAGACCATCCCTGTCAGAACCACCAATGTAAGATCATCCCGTTCAGAACCACCAATGTGAGACCATCCCTGTCAGAACCACCAATGTGAGACCATCCCTGTCAGAACCACCAATGTGAGACGATCCCTGTGAGAACCACCAATGTGAGACCATCCCTGTCAGAACCACCAATGTGAGACCATCCCTGTCAGAACCACCAATGTGAGACTATCCCTGTCAGAACCACCAATGTGAGACCATCCCTGTCAGAATCACCAATGTGAGACCATCCCTGTCAGAACCACCAATGTAAGATCATCCCTGTCAGAACCCACCAATGTGAGATCATCCCTGTCAGAACCACCAATGTGAGACCATCCCTGTTAGTAATTACCCTAAATAATATGATACCATCCAAAGCTCACAGAAACCACCCCTATGAGACCTCTGCTATCACAGACAATCACTCTAAGGACAGTTTCTGTTTGTGTATTGCAGTGCTGGTGGGCCGTGGCTGATCACAGACATGAGGAGAGGAGAGACGATATTTGAAATAGAGCCACACTTCCAGGTAAGTACAATATACTGTTTCATGTCTCCCCACTGTTCCAGCTGCAGTTTGATACATTGGTTTTGTTAAAGTCCATTTTAGAGATTATAATGTTTGATTTTCTCAATTGATTGTGTGCCTGTACAACTACAGTATATATTCTAAGTTGTCTCAATACTCTGTTGATTAAAATTGTATTCAGTTCATCATCATTATAAAATCTGTTTTATCTGAATTTTCTCGTGACTGTTGTAAATCTTGTGTGTTAGGATCGTGTGGACACGGGTATAGAAACCGAGGGCTCCAACTTAAGTGGTGTCAACAGTCGATGTTCGTGGGAGGAGCCAGGCGACGGTGGAGACGACTTCTACAACGAAGACGAGAGGGAAAATCGCATGTTGGAGGAGCGACGCAATAGTAACAACGAGGAACGTCCTCAGATATCCGACTTTGGTAAGAAAAACAAGGAGGAAAATTTTCTTAATTTACTTCAGTTAGAATTCAGTTTTGATGCTAAAAAGGGAGAGAGAGAAAATTTAAGAAAAAATAATTGTTGTCTTGGTAAAAGGTATGAGTTATCAATTTTGAGGATCAGAAGGAAAAAAGAAAAAAAATATCATTGTTTTTCTCAGAATGTCAGAATATATCTTTAAGAGTAGGAAGAAAGTGATTTCAGTCATTTACAAGCAACGCAGATTTTACATTAAATCTGAATATCTTCTGCTGATTGTTGCACTGTTATATGCAATGTAAAAAAAAAAGAATACTAAGCATTGTTGTTTGGTGACAGACTCTGAACAGATCAAGGCAACATTGAAGCGTGGTCTCAGCGGCTCCCGACCTGGGCACTTTGCACGCAGGGAATTTGAATATGATAATGGGTAAGTAATGGATTTGTAAATGGTAGACATTTCTATTTCTCTTTTGCTTCAAACAAAACTAGATAAGTTTGGCTCACTTGTTGTGAATGGGGGGGGGGGGGATCTTTGAGGGTGAAAACCACTTTTTATTTTTACCCAAATAGTGCTCAATGAAGCTACAAATTAAATCAATTTCTTGTTCACTTAAAACGATTGATTTTTGAAAAGTAACAATAAAAATGGTGACAGTTACTGAAATGGACTAGCATTGTCCTGATATTTACATTATTTCTCGGTACTTAGAAGTATGTGATAGAAATAAAAATCCTAGGGAGAACAAGGGAGCTGATCTTCCCAGACTGGATCTGATATTAGAATTACTGCTTAACATTTTACTGAAGTTCCCTAAGGCCGCTTTAATTTGTCATCCCATAAATTTGACCTGATTTGTCACCCTATGAATTTGACCTGATTTGTCACCCTATGAATTTGACCTGATTTGTCACCCTATGAATTTGACCTGATTTGTCGCCCTATGAATTTGACCTGATTTCTCGCCTTATGAATTTGACCTGATTTGTCACCCTATGAATTTGACCTGATTTGTCACCCTATGAATTTGACCTGATTTGTCATCCCATGAATTTGACCTGATTTGTCACCCTATGAATTTGACACTAGCAATATTCAATCTTTAATTTGTCCTATTAATTTGTTCTGTACATGTATATTCAGTCAAACTTGATATACAAGAATATCTTGCCTGACATTAAGTGCCTGTGAGTTTATGGTATGGTGCAATGTCTTTCGTCAACCATTCTCTTTGAAGTGCTTCTTCCTGAAACTGAACTACCCACGGTCCTGGTACTTAGTATTAGACCAGTAGGTACTGTGGATAGAGTGTCCAATAAGAGTCCAATTGAGTGTCATATAAATGACCTCTACCTTCTTTAAAGAGCCAGGAAACATGGGCATGTCATGTAGACAGGCAATGTGAATATTTTCTAATATATTACGTTTAGTTCAAAGGTCAGCTTTGTTGGCCAGGGTCAAATGTTGGCATGGACTATAATGGGTAAAAAGCGGTAGGAAACTTCTTCCTCAGTTCCATCAAGTCCAGGGTCATATTTGGCCTGCAGTTAATTGGGATAGTGCTATAAATGTCCTCATATCGGTGACCTTGACCTCCTTTCAAGGTCACATGGATCAACTTCAAATAACATTTGGAAAGTCTATAGAGCTACTGTATTTGGATATATCTAGTAGACCAGTAGTGTGAATCTTTTTGTTTAGCCCGTGGATCATAACTTTTAATTGTTGACTCCTATAACAATACCTGCTTGCTGGGCACGGGGAAGTACCAGGAATAGGTCAAAACTGTGGGGACTTATTCTCATGGGAAACAGTGGAGATCTCCATCCTAGCACTGTATACACAGACATATCATATAATGATGAACTAGTTCTACAGGCTTCTCTTTTGTTCTGTCTGCAGTAATCGGATCCAGTCACGGAAGCAGTCGTTTGACAGTACAGCAAGTTCAGATGGACCTACAGAACTTCTAAGAACACGCTGTTTAGAATCTGTACATTTGAAATTTAATTTAGAGGCAGGCTCTTTGCTGCCATTAGCCCTGAAGGGGCGGCTCAAACATGGACGCCATTTTACATTTATGAGTGCATTAAATGATACAGCAATAACACTAGTGTCAACAAGTGTGAACGGATCTATAGCAGACGAGAACCACCCCTTCGCCGCCCATGGGCCCTGGCTACAGGTAAGTGTTCCCATACCCCAAATTTTCTATTTGTGATATCAAAAGTTTGGCAAGTCTATTTCTCTTGTAGCCATTATAAATTATCTCATTTCTGCCAGTGCCACTAGCCTTCATACTTCTCCCATAACTACTACAGACTTCATAATTCCTCCCATAACAGCATCAGGTTTCCTGGAGAGTAAAGTATTGCTGTGTTAATTAATGACGTATATATTACAGGTGTCATTATTGCTGTTTAGTGTAAATATTACAGGTGTCATTATTGCTGTATAGTGTATAGATAACAGGTGTAATTATTGCTGTATAGTGTATATATTACATGTTTAATTATTGCTGTATATATTACAGATGTTAATTATTGCTGTATATTACAGGTACTGTTAACAGACGACTTTCTGGACGAGATGATCTGTGATATTGAGGAGTTGTGTAACCCTGACGAGGTAAGGAGCCGCCTTCTAGAGCCTCGGCAGTAGACATTATTTTGTATTAATTGTAGTCAAGATTTGTTTCTGGAGACATTTTACAGTTAAAATATTTCATTCTAGTTCACACCACTTAAGTGATTGATATCCAAACTTAAAGCTTTGTATCTGTTCTCAGAGATTAGCTTTGTGTCTGTTCTCAGAGATTCTAGTTGAGTTTAGGAAATCACTTTTGATCAAATCGTCAGTTGCCTCTATTTACTGGTATGTTAAGCATCCAAATATTGCTTCAGTCTGTATATATTTGTATGTTACACAGCACCACTTACAATGGTACAACCTAGGTTCTTTCGAATTTGGATTTTTACTTGAAATAACATCTGTGCTACTGATACTATTAAAACCCAGGATATTTTGATGACGTCCAGTCAGTTTAATTACCCACTATCATACTGCTGTATAATATAACCCCTTGTTAATATACATGTATACATTTATTCATAATATTGAAGATTTCCTATCTTTTCTCCTCACTCAGATGTTGTGCCCAAAGACATTCAGCTGGCCTGAAAGGAGACTTTGTATCACAGTGCTTTCGGATGAGGTCTAACAGCCTGGTGTTAGATGATGGTGACGACTTGAACATTTGCATGCTATTTGGTGTAATGGTATGAAGAGTCTAGACCTCGGTGGTGCAATTACTACTCCGCTAGTTCCACACAGTGATGATGAGTGCTATATAACAGTGAGTGAACATTGTCAGTCAGTCACATAGCGCTACATCTATGGAGAAGTGTCCAGACCTGTGTGTCCCGTGCGAGGGGATCATCCTTTTAAGAAGGATGGTTTCTCGGGGATATTCTCTAGTGGGATCCCGTGGAAAGTTTGTACATGTGAATTGTTGGTGTAACAAGGATTTTCTACTGCCCACAGGATGTGGCCCCAGACCAGTGGAGTATTCTGGATGTGAGAATATTTAACATACAAATGTCAGCATTCTGCCACACACAGATTTTATCTCCAAGGTGTGCTGGCTCTGTGTGTAACGAGGTTATTATGTCACTCGTTACAGGTCAACACTCGTTACAGGGTGTCGCCTCACTCGTTACCTTCGACCTGTGGTCAAGTTATTATCGTTCCATGCTTGACCCTAGACTTTTCAAATGTTTCTTGAGAGGACTAGCTTAATATTTTACACTCTGTTTAAAGGAACATGACTCAGAGTTGATGACATGTCTTGGGATGGATGTTTACGTTAATATTAGCCAATCAGATGACAGTGATTGATGTTTACGTTAATATTAGCCAATCAGACGACAGTGAAACCTTGTTAGCTGGATTGCTCATATATAAGAAACTTCCAAATGCTAACGAGGACTGAAAGGTTAAAACGATATCCTGTCCCACCACCGTATGGCCACGGTGTTAAATTATGTTATATTGTACACTAATCGTGTAGTAATATCTCATTCGGCCTCGGACCACGTACAACAAGGTTTATTTGACCAGCTAGAAATCACTTATAGTATAAGAAATTCTTGTTGAGATTAATCTCTAATATTTATTTGGTATATTGGCTCTGTATTAACTCTTCTGAACAGATATCTAGCTGCTCCAAACATGATCATAGAATTTCAATGCATTTGTTTTGGGATGCTCCAGTTTATTATATTTTGGATCTTGATATTTTTCCCAAATTGAATACTTGTATTGATGTAAATTTTAAACCAGGCTGAATATTAAATAGAAAACCTCATGCATAGACAACAATTCAGGTTTATATCCCATGTTTATTACATGTATATGCATGTATATAACATGCTGATATATTCATTTGTTAATGAAATCTGGAATTTCCGTTGACTTTGGGGCAGCATGCTGATCTACACTTCGAATTCTTGCGCCATAGGTTGCTGACATCACAAGGTTTTCTCTGTGCAAAACTATTGTGTAAAGTTTAGACAATTTATGTATAAAGTTTCAACAACGTCTAAGAGTGAGAGAAGCGTTTTGTTTACTCCAGACTAAGATTTGGAGAAATGTTTTGTTTACTCCAGACTAAGATTTGGAGAAATGTTTTGTTTACTCCAGACTAAGATTTGGAGAAATGTTTTGTTTACTCCAGACTAAGATTTGGAGAAATGTTTTGTTTACTCCAGACTAAGATTTGGAGAAATGTTTTGTTTACTCCAGACTAAGATTTGGAGAAATGTTTTGTTTACTCCAGACTAAGATTTGGAGAAATGTTTTGTTTACTCCAGACTAAGATTTGGAGAAATGTTTTGTTTACTCCAGACTAAGATTTGGAGAAATGTTTTGTTTACTCCAGACTAAGATTTGGAGAAATGTTTTGTTTACTCCAGACTAAGATTTGGAGAAATGTTTTGTTTACTCCAGACTAAGATTTGGAGAAATGTTTTGTTTACTCCTGCAGACTAATACATATACTGTATTATTTCAATCTTTAAAAAAAAGCTTGTCAATATAGCTTATTTTAAAAAAGAAACGATTTAGAGATATTTATTTATGTTTTTTTTCCAGGGATATATTGCTCCTGTATGGTAACTCTCCAATGAGCCCGTTGTTATTTTACGGCTGTCTTGATGTGTAACAGTGCGGGTGTAGGGGGTGTAAAATGTTCGTTACCATGTTCTATTTGGTGGTTTAAATAGATGTTGTCATAATAATAAATAGTTATCATATAGGTTTACACAGATGTGTTCATGCATGGTTTTACTGTTATTGGTTATTTGCTGTTGGTGAGTATCATGTGGATTATTTCGGGCACAACTTCGCCCTGATTACCATTTGGTTTAGCTACGGTACCTGTAGGCTTGTTATCTGGAGACATGTACTAGGTGGGTTAGCTACGGTACCTGTAGGCTTGTTATCTGGAGACATATACTATGTGGTTTAGCTACGGTACCTGTAGGCTTGTTATCTGGGGACATGTACTATGTGGTTTAGCTACGGTACCTGTAGGCTTGTTATCTGGAGACGGGTACTTTGTGGTTTAGTTACGGTACCTGTAGGCTTGTTATCTGGAGACATGTACTATGTGGGTTAGCTACGGTACCTGTAGGCTTGTTATCTGGAGAAGTGTACTAGGTGGTTTAGTTACGGTACCTGTAGGCTTGTTATCTGGAGACGTGTACGAGGTGGTTTAGCTACGGTACCTGTAGGCTTGTTATCTGGAGACGTGTACTATGTGGTTTAGTTACGGGACCTGTAGGCTTGTTATCTGGAGACATGTACTATGTGGTTTAGCTACGGTGCCTGTAGGCTTGTTATCTGGAGACATGTACTATGTGGGTTAGCTACGGTACCTGTAGGCTTGTTATCTGGAGAAGTGTACTAGGTGGTTTAGTTACGGTACCTGTAGGCTTGTTATCTGGAGACATGTACTATGTGGGTTAGCTACGGTACCTGTAGGCTTGTTATCTGGAGACGTGTACTATGTGGTTTAGCTACGGGACCTGTAGGCTTGTTATCTGGAGACGTGTACTAGGTGGTTTAGTTACGGTACCTGTAGGCTTGTTATCTGGAGATGTGTACTTTGTGGACAGGTACAGGGCGCACACTTTAACACTCATACTTGTGTAGTTGAACTGTGTAATTACAGAATTAGTTGTTAAGTTGTGAGATTCAGTTTTTGTTGCCATAATATATCAATAGGTTTTATAAGATGTTGCTGGTACAATAAATATTAAAACAACCCTAGGTCTACCATAAACAATCTGCACTATATTTGTTATGAAAAGATCTGAGAAAAGAAAATATTTGGGAGTAGGGGGGGGGGTATCAATCGAGACAATCCCCAGGTGGTGCATTGAGTGTTGTGAGTATACTGTAGCCAGGTAATAAATGTATGGTGTGGAATTTCAGTCCCATGGTATACTGTACAAGTGATCTGTCACTGGACATAGTTATCAGATGTATATGTAGCTAAATAAGCCTACATAAAACCTGGCAGTCAACCCAAGTAATGAACTGCTAACAAGTGGGATTCACAGAATATATGAATGCCAACAGGATAACGGGAAAATTTCATGAAGTACAGTGTACGAAGTGTACATTCCTGTAATCCAGGGAGGATTCCCCAGTAATTCCCACTGTAAGCAGTCCAAAATGATATGTTAACTATTTCAACAACCACAAAAAAAAAGGTTATTAGTATATCTATATGACAAACTGGTCTGCAAAATAACAGTAAAACGTTTTTTTTCTCTTTTTTACCCATTTAATTACTTACTCAATATCTATTTGTACTGTGTAAACATTCATTATTGATAGGCTAAAGCCATGTCTGTTCTGTCGACCGCTCCCAGTATGTGCTGTAGTTGCTGTTCTGTGGCATTCATAGTCCTTTGATTGCCAGATAGATTTAAATTTGGTAGGCAATGCTGCGCTTATGTAAATAGTCATCAATTAATATGCAGCATATATTCTAGATCTGGAGAAGGTGCACGTGACATCTATCAGTTGTATCAATCAATGTCATTGTATGCTAATAAGGGCACTTTTCATTCACATGGCCCTTCCTATTAAAACACTTTGGGCTTGCATCATTTTACATGTGTAATTTGAGTTAAATTTTCCGTCATTCTTGGGATTTTCATTTGGAAAGCAACATTATATTCCTAATAAACATGTAATGAAAAAACATCCTTTTTAAAATGGCATCAATCGACAACAAAGATAAATACCAAGTTTCTAAAGGAGAAAAAAAAAATCATTTAATTTAATATCAGAGATTTTGGAAGAACTGTTTAAGTACACACATGAATTTTAAACATTCTACAACATAAAAATGGGTACATACTGTTGAAATCATTTTTGCATTCCTGCACGAATGAATTCAGTTTCAAGAAAGAAAAAAATATGGGTGTGAAATTAAAGAAAACCAACACTAACTGAACATATCGTATAGATGAAATGTAACCACGAAAACCCAGTTTTTTGTCACCATTTCGCTACAATGTTAGAAGCCAGTAACAACACTACAGTCTGACTTACTCACATCCTCATCTAAAGATTTCATGTATTTGTGTACCATCAAAAATATAAAAGCACTCGTACCAGTTTTATTTTAATTACTGAGTTTTGGAAAACATAAAATTGTACAATCAAAGTCGGAGACTCCAGAACATTACCTGATCACCAATCCTTTAAAATAATTCCCCAGTGACTTGGCAATCTGCGACAGTTTACTAATTCATGTTTACATACATTAATATTTAAGATCAACAAAAGTAGGGAATAGATTTAAATGATTTAACAGTAGGTCACAAACTAGACCTGATGATAATTCAAAGGGAGTTAAAACTGGGACTGAGGACTTAAAGAACTACTTTCTGTAATCTAAGAACTACGATCTGGACACTTATTTCGGGTACTTGGTAGAAATGTTGTTCTGGAAAATGTACAATTTAGACCTTGATTAACTTGGTAGCACATGACATACTTGACCTGGTAAATGTATATATTTATCGATGACTAGGCGCTATGTTTCTAATGTAATATTACCATTAGCTTTCCTTGTGTCATGATCTGTCCACTATGTACTGGTCCACAGACATATAGCTATAGGTACCCACATACACATGTATACACTGATAGTCACGCGCTCCTCTCAGCCTAGTTTAACCTTTGGAACAAAGCAGATGTTATCAGTTTAATTAAGATCTGTGAGCGATTAATTGGCACTGATTTTGATTGCCAAAATGGCAATGCATAAAGGCATTCTTACAAGCAGATTTTCTGCTGTACATTATTAATTTTGGGGAAGCATTTCGTAGCCAAAATCAGCATTATTCATTGTCTTGTAAGTGATGAAGTGAAATTTGACATTTTTTATTGTGACATGTGTACAATACTTGTGCCATTTTTGACACAAACGAGAGTTTGAGTCCTTGTTCTGTTTTATTGATTAAGCTCCATTTTTAACATTTCTACTTTATCAAAGATCTCCGTAACAATATGGAGGTGGTACTAAAATTTCTTACTCAATCATTGCGTTTATTGGTGGTCTTACTTTGTTTTTATCAATGGACGCTACACTATTGATAACTAACCATCGTAGGTTTGAGGACCTAGATTTAAAGTATACCATATTTTTCCCAACGCTTTCCTGATATGTTCTAGATTATTTTGTAAATAATCTAGAAAATCTACTTAACTGTAGTCATAGTTGCAATATCTTTTTACCTAGTTAAGAAAGGAATTTGAAGCGAGAAACAAAGAGGTGATCATTATTTAGGTATGGGATATAGAAATTCTACCCTCATGTTTAGAATGTTTTGACTCCAAACCTCAGTGTTTACCCGGATTCTACACCAGAAGGTAAAATTTCCCTTATCTCTATAGTAATTGTGCTCAACTCTATTAGTGATATGTATGTGGTAATCCATAGACATCAACCAAAGTAAGCTTTTTAGATGGACCAGGAATGGGATAACCTGCTGAGGTTATGGAAGACTGTTAGTTGTAAACTTTTAGGGGTAGTGTTAGAATGGAGGAAACACCTGTGGATGTGAGGTGCCCAGATAGATACAAGATTAGGATAGTAATGGTTCTGAAATTCTATTGTGTTTCTGCAACAGATGGGTATTGAGATATCCATAAATACCATACCACCCCCAACATGTTTGTAACACAGAAGTGACTGTTACAAAACCACGATCTGAAAATAGAACAAAAAATCAAATATAGTATGAAATGCTCTCCCACATCTGTGGCTGGTGAGAGGGCCATTGTGCTTGTGTTATTTTTGCGCCTGATATTTATTTGGTGTGGTGTCTGTGTACAGATTATTGCGATGATCTTCTATAAAGAATTCAAATTAAGAACTATCGTGAATTGGACTTGACAGTTGATTTGATAGCACTATTTTTGTAATCTGACCGAATTCTGTATATTGTGTTGAAGACTCTGCGCTTGTTGGACATGTAGCTATGTATAGCTGCAACATAGAAATTATTTTATGAGTCATTAAAATAATTTATAACTTTGTCAGTTGGCGACAAATTAATTTATAATCCCAATTTGATACCCTACTCTGTAGGATATACCGTTGTCCAACTTGTTTATTTATTAAATATGACTTGG